AAAAAAAAAAAAAAAAAAAAAAAAAAAAAAACTGTGGACTTGGCCAAGCTGATGCTTTACTTAGAAGTAAAGAAATACTTTAAAAGAGTATTTTTAAAAGAAATGAAAGAGAAATTTGTGGATATAAATGAATTATATTCAACACAAGAAATTTGGAAAAGAGCAGCAGAGTAAATTAAAGAAGGAAGCAAATGAAGAGAAGAAATTAACAAAGTAAACAGCAAAACAGAGAGTTAATAATAGGTACAGAGAGAGCATTCACAAAATTTTACACTTGCTAGGGAGTAAAAAATAAAAATTAGCCAGAGAGTTGGCCCAGGCAGGACCAGCGTTCCTAAACCAGCTCTAGCCTGTTCCCGCAGGGAACAGGTGATATCTGCACGGGCCACGGCAGCTCCCTGTCCTTGCATCTCTCCCAGTGACTCACTGGTGACTTTCACTATGGAGCCCATGCACAACCCCATAAGTTCCATCAGTCCTACCACAGGCCCCCCTGGCCTGACAGTGGATAGGCACTTACAGCCTGTCTGTGGCTGCCCTACACGAGCCCGTGTGTGCCCGCCACACACTCGGAACTCAGTCCCGCACTCAGCTCCTGTCTGCTCACGTGTGTAGCACCAACTGTATGCCAGGCATGATTTTAAATGCTTTCCATAAACCGATTCATGTCATCCTCACTGCAACTCTAAGAAGTGGGTAATATTGTTATCTCCATTTTACAGAAGAAGAAAATGAGTCACTAAGAGGTGCAGTAGCTTCCCAAGTTCACACAGCTAACGGGGGACAGTGAGCTTGGCCCAGAGCAGTGCCCTGTCCTGCTGCCTCCCTTCCTTGACTGGACTGTCTTGAGGGACATGGGGTGTTATGTATTCAAAGAAGAAGTACACATGCGCTTTGACCCAAAATTACACTTCTGGGCAGATATTATAAAAAAATATTAGACCAATCATTAAATTCATCCACAAACATTTGCTGAGAGCCTACGTGTGTAGACAACACACCCCAGCACTCAGCAGCATGAGCTATTTCTACGCCAGAATGGCAGCGCCCTCCACCCTACGCAGAGGCACCGTGAACCACAGGTGTGCCAGCATGGAAATTGCTCTAAATGAGCTGCCAACTCAGCTTCCCCTGCGCTGATGCCAGAAATGGCGCAGGAAGGAGCGTGTGGAGGTAGCTGGGAGGAACAGTCGGCAGTCGAAAATTTACAAAACATATGACCGTGCAAGCACGTTGCAGGGCCTCTCCCAGGGCCCACCCCAGGGCAGCAAGTCCCTGTGTGACAGCAGCACCAACACCTGAGGGATCGGCCACTGGAAAGGTGTCTGAGACCCCACCTCCCGGGCATCTCCTTCCCTCCCTGACGTCTCCTACCCATCATTCTCCCTCCTTCCTACCTCAGCCACTGAGCAAACACCTCCATTGCTTCTAGCCCATCCCCAGGCGGTGGCTCTGGCTTCAGTGTTTCCTTGCAATCTCTTTTCCACGCTGCCACCAGAATAACTTTTGAAAGACAAAACCCAGGCTCTGTCTGTGTGGAGCGTCATACATGGTCTGGGCTTGCCCTGTTTCCCCAGCTCTCCCTACCTCCCATGCCAGGCACCTCCCCTGGCCCTTCCTGACCTTTCATGGCTCGCCTCCAGTCATCTCCTCAGTGAGGCTGTTGCCCAGAGGCCTCCCTCTGCTGCTCCTGACTCAGCGCCCTGTTCGTTCCTTGCACACCCAGGATGGCAGTCTTCCTGTTGCCTGAACATACTTGCTGCTTTGTGGGTTCTCTGTCTCCACTGGGTTGTGAACTGCAGGAGAATGAGGAGCTTGTGCCCCTGGCATCAGCAGAGATCAAGTTCCACATGTCTTCAAAGGGTTCCCCCATGTCTGTCTCTGGATACTAAGATAGACGTGCAAGAATGAAACTCCACAGGACTGAGCAGAACTGCTGGATGATTCACATTCACACAGAGCAGGGAGGTGTTTGCAGTGTGACCGTCCAGAGTGGAGAGTCCTTGGTGGACACCTGGGACATTCAGTAGAGACCTCAGAAGGGTCACACCCTAGAGGTGGGTCTAAACTAGCCCTAGATTAAAGGCTACTCCTAACCCATCCTAACAACTCAAAAACCTCAAAAGGATCAAGATGATCTGCTGAAACATTCTTGAAAAAAAGACAGGAAACCCCAGCCCTCAGTAACAGACGCATAATGCCCAGTAGCCGGTCAGAAATCACTAGACGGCAAAGCTGCAGGAGCTGAAATGCTGCAAGTCAGGAGCATGGGCTCCCCCTTGCCCTCACTGCCAGTTACTGTGAGGGGACTTTACATGTTTCCTGGCACATGATAGGTACTCAGCACTGTCTCACTTTTACGATTATTATGCCTCTGGGGAATTCTTCAATCCTCACATGGATACAATTTTAAGTCAAAGATTTACTTCTCACCAACATCCGGTTAAAGCAGAAGTCCTCACTGGAGGGAGTATACATAGCCAACATATCACGTTTGTGTCCATTTTCTTCAGGAGAGCCCCCAAAGTGGGACAAGCTTCAGGCCCCATGAGACCTGGGCCTGCCTGGCTCAGGGATGTGGCTCTGACCGACACCCAGCCCTCACTGACTGGGGTGTGGGCTGAGGCGTCTCTCCACCATTCCAGCGCCATCATCCACACCTGGCTGGGAACAACGTGCAGTACAGGAGCTGCCCTCCCCGTCCTATGTCAGATCCAAGTGCAGCTATAAGTCAGAGAGGAGTGCAGAATGCCCCTGGTGCACAGAGGCCATCCTGCCACCGGGCTCTTTCCCTCCACAGAACCCACCTGCCCTCTTGACAGACAGGCAGCCCCTAGGGGAGCTCAGAGTCAGCTGCAGCTGGGGGCCCTTCTGGGGTCCTGGACCCACCCACAGAAGCCGAGCCCCCTGCACTGCCTCTGTCTTCCTGTCTCTCATCTGCTTTTTCTTCGAGTAATGCAGGCTCTGTGACATCTATCATGGGCAGAAGGAGACCTCTGCCGAAGATCCGGGCACAGGACCAGCAGCTCCGGGCCCAAGCAGAGCGGCAGGCGGTGAACTTCGTGGTGCAAGGTACCCAGAGCCCCTTGCCCTGTAGTTCTGTGTCCACCTGCTTCTGGGGAATTAGCAGCTGCAGTGTGGGTGGCATTTCCTGTTTCCAGCAAACCTCCCTCAGGAGCTCCATGGCCTTGCCTGTCCTGTTTGGCAATCGCTGTCAGGAGGCGGTTGAAATCACACCTGCTTGTGGCAGGTGCTCGGTAAATGGTCATCTTTATAGTTATGGTGCTTCCCCCAAGAGCCGGGAGAGCAATGCTGTCCCATATCTACAAGTAGGAAACCAAGGCTTCAGGAGGTGGGCCATACCTGGAGCTCAGCCCCCCAGTGCTTGACCTGGGGCCCCTCCGACATCCCCGTGCCAGGCATGCAGGGCCTCAGGAACAGGCATCCAAAACCCAGCGCCCTGTGGTGTCCTGCAGCCCTCAGTGGCAAGAGGCAGCTGGCACTGTTGCCTCCAGTTACAAAAACTTATGGTCATCTTTAGCCATAGCAGCCAAGTGGCTCAAAGCAAGTCCCTGCACAGAGGAGCTGTGGGAGCTATGGTAAGAGGCTCTGTGCACTGAGCATGCGCCATGCACCACAGGGCCCTGATGCAGAGGCCTTGGTGTCCCCCAGGCTCGGCCGCCGACCTCTGCAAGCTCGCCATGGTCCGCATCTTCGCTGCAGTGGCCTCTTCCCCCACCTCGACAGCCAGGTCAGTGTGCCAGTCGGCCTGCCGGCCGGCCTATCCCACACCCAGGGTGGAAAGCTGACTGCTCTGTGAGGACATGCTCTGCACTGGCCCGCCACTTCCCATCCATGGGGTCTTGATTCTGATGCTCACCCACCACCAAGCAAGGGTCCCCCTTAGCCTGAGCTCCTCCGAGGCTCTCACCCTGGGCAGGGGCAGGGGGCCTGCTCACAGTGAGAGTGCAGGTAGCAGTCGGCCATTCACCAGCTTGGGGCACAGTGAGGTCTCTCAGGACAGACATGCTGTCTCCCCAGGCCCCTCTTCCTTAGGCTCATCTGAAGGGGACCCACAGCCCCTCGGACAGGACACTGGGGATTCCACACTGTCCCCACCCCACGCCCCTCTGGTTGCTGCCACCAACGCCAGGCAGTGCCAGGAACCCAGTTCCTACTGCTGCAGTCCCTGTGCCCAGAGCCAACATTCAGGAGCTTCCTTTATGGTGGGGGCCCCACATGGTTGCCTCCATCTCTGTCTCTGCCTCAGGTGCTCCTTGGGCACATGCCTGAGTGCTCTGGTGGTGAGGAAACAAGGCGCCCTCACCTGGCCACCTCCTCCTGGTTGACGGAGGCCCTGGCGTGGGCTGCAGGTAGCAGCCCCAATGCCTGCCCTCCTTGTCGGGGATGGATTCTCCCCAAGAACCCCAGGACACTTCCTGGTACCTAACCTAGATCAGCTCCTCAAAGAAGGGATCATGTCAGTCCCCAAAAGCGTCTGGCTCCTTCTGCTTCCACCCTGAGGATCCTCAAGCTCTTCATGGAGATGGGCTCCACGCAGGTGGGTCAGCATCTCCACCCCTAGAAGGGAAGCCTATGCAGGTCGGGGACCGCTTCTGTAGGTTATAAAATGTGAAGCAGTCTCCCGGCCCCTGTGACACAGCCCCCACGGCACCCTGCCTGTGGGGTGCAGGGATCTGCCTGCCTGTGGCCACCCTTTGCCAGCTGAGCTCATAGTTCTCTCTTGGCTTCAGATATGATTGTATGTTCTCAACGCATGATTTTTTCCTTATCAGAGATGTTTCATCTTTAAAAAACTGTCTCCTTTATTTCTTCAAAATTTTCCTCCTGTTCTTTTGACTTTTGAGCCTATGTTCTTTTGGTAATTTCAGCAACTTTGTATGAAATGTGTGCCAGGTGAGGGTCCTGTCCCAAGGCCTGCAGGGCACCTGGCAAAGTGGGCCCCTGTTGGCCACCCCCTGTATAGGCCAGCACCAGGCATTCCCCTGGCCCACGGTCATCTTGGAGCCCTGAGGAGAAGCAGCACCTCCGACGGTCATCCCAGGGGTCTGGGAGGAGGGTCTCAGCCCGGCCCCAGTGACCCTGCTGATGCCTACGTGGGCCTCTAGGCTTCCAGCTCTGTTCTCTGCAGTAACTGGGGTGGTCAAGAGGCAGGAGCAGGATGCCAGGCACTCTGCTCAGTTTCTCCTGCTGCCTCTTGCTGCCGTGCATGCCCTCCTCCACGCACAAGCATGGCACGTGCATGCAGCCAGCACCAGGCAGCCTCCAGGTGCCCAGGCTTCTCTCATGGTTTCCCGACTGGTTCCCGAAACCCACACGCCCTGCTCGCCTCACCGTCCCTGCAGGGTAAATTCCAGTTTCCACAGGGTATGAGTGGCCTTGCTAGTTTCCCTTCTGGGCAGGATCTGAAAGCCCAGCAGCTGTTCTGTGTCTGTGATGCCACCAGACTAGAAGAGCTGACTCGCGCTCACTTTCTGTGGAACTGATGAAGAAGTCAGCACATGAAGACGGGCCTGTCTGTGTTGGTGACTGAGTCCTGCTGAAAGCTGAGCACGAACAACTCTTATTCAGGAATTTAACAGCCTGCTGGTCATTTTTCTATCATCAGCCCTTTGTTGTCATTAGGAAACACTGTTCATAACAAAATGCCCTGCATGTTTTAGAAGAAAACAAAGGTTCGTGTGGAATACTGGGCACTCCATATTGTGTCCTGTAGACTTGGTTTGTTCTTCTGGGGGTAAGTGAACAGCTTTGGATGGTGTCTGGGAGGGGCGGACTTGGGCTGAGTGTGACATATCTTCACCTGAACTAGCGTGAGAGGAATGCGATTACCCTGAGGGGATCGGGCGCCGTGGGGCAGGGACCACACACAGTCTCCATTCGCCGCCCATGGTGCCTGGGACAAGGAAATGGCATCCACTCGCACCTCCCAGTCCAGATCCTGAAAAGACCGAGAGGTTGTGCCCAGAGCAGACAGACCGGGCTGCGCTTCCGAGCCCGGCCCCACCGCCGTTGGTGCAGTCGCCGCATTCGCAGGCCTGGGTGCCGGGCAGCTCAGCTCCCCTTCCTGTCCTCTGACATGGCCCTGCGTGAAAAGGCCTGTTTGGATTTCAGAACATGTTGGAGCTGGAAGGAATCTTCAGAGATCCTTGGCTCCAACACCTGTGTGTAGAGAAGGGGAAACCAAGCTGCAGAGCGCAATGCAGCATGTCCAGGTTCACCCAGAGCCGGCCCCTCTCAGGAGCAGGGACGAGAGGTCAAATCAGCAGTTATCTCCCTTCCCAGGAGCTCCACAGGACCTCAGAACCTGTCTTCAGTGCCTCGCACTGAGACACCTCCATTTCTCCTTGTTTTCTGTGCCCCAGTTTCCAGTTAGAAATATGGAAATGTCTCTGTGGCTATGTGCGTGGAGTGTGACTAACAGTCACACCTGCTCTTTAGGGTTCTTGCCACCCCAGCAGCCCAGGACTTCACAATGGAATTTCAAGACGTGTGAAAACTGTTTCTGCTAAATCTGGAAAAAGTTACAAGTGCCTTTTCTGAGGTTGCTGCCCATTTGAAAAGTCAGTCCCCTTGGGAGCCAAAACCTCTGCCAGAGCCGTTGAAGATCCTTTAGGAAGGTGCATGCTGATGCTGCCAGCCTCGTCTCCACTGTCCTGGTTCACCCTGATCTGGTATCTGGCAGGCTACTGCTAAAGGCCTCAGCCAGAGGCTGCACAAAAAATAGGCACGCCTCCGGGGGCAGCCCATGTGGGGGGCGTGTGCTCCACTGCTTATGGTCTTCATTCAGACCACACGAGAATCCAGAGTTTACCCAGCAGGAACAGTGGAAATGAGCAGGTTGCATGGATTTCAGGAACTAATCAGGAAACCATGAGAAAACCCAGGGCGACTGGAGGCTGCCTGGTGTGCACAGCATAACATCCTGTAGTGCACACCTATTAGGATCTGCATGGCCACTAGTTACACAGGCACAGCTACAGTAGCTCAGGCTCCTAAAGGTGGATTTCTCCCCCATCATGAGAAGTTCAGAGTGCAGTGGTTGCTGATCTTGTCTCAGAGGTCAAGGGCAGCAGGACCAACGTCTGTCTGGCCCTTTGGCCCTTTCCCTCTTGGTGCCATAATGGAGATAGCTGCTCCAGCCATCACATCACCTTCCAGGCAAAAGGAGAAAGTAGTGATGGTCAAAAGAGCACCTGCCCCCTGGCAAGTCAGACCTTTAAAGAACCTTCCTGGAAGTTGGAGGGTTCACACCTCCCCGGCCAACGAACCTGACAGAGAGCCTAGGAAGTGCTGTGTGTAGCTGGACACAGCCCCGTCTCCACCCCACCCAACAACAAAGGGGCTGACGTGAAGACAGAGGAAGATTGGTTGGGGCAGCCACTACAGACCTTTGCTACAGAGTCCATGTCTTCTCCTGGGATGTGCAAGGCTGCTCCCCACACCCATCCAGGGCTCACCACTACACCCCAGGACCACTGCCTCATCACAAGTGCAGCCCCCATGTGAGGGCCCGGGCAGGTGGGGAAGGGGACGTGACCTCTGCCCTCGAAAGCCCCACCCAGGAGACACAGCCAAGGTCACACTGAGGGCAGAGTACTCAGGATCCTCAACACGCCTCTTCCCAGGGGACTGCAGCCCTCCTGACCATGCTGGGAGTCACCACACTTCCCTCCCTGAGAGTGCAGGGCAGGCCACTCTTGTCCACCTCATGGGAGGGGCTGGCACTGGGTCTGGGGTCTGCAGCCCCTTGGCCAAGGCCTCATGTTCCTGAAGATTCTGAGGCATCATTTGCCTGAGGCACATAAGGCACTCAGATCTCACCTTCTAATGAGCATGGGCAGTCAGGGCCTGCTGGCTAAATCCAGCTTAGGTGTGTTCTGTGTGGTCAGCATCACTCTATCCCACACCCTGTGCACACACCACCTGTCCCCCTGCCCGGGAGACCCCTGCCCTAGCAGTGTATTTCCCCCATCTCTTCCCTTGGTCTGTTCCTGCTTCCCCTCCCTCCTGAAACCCCTGGAAGGAGCCTTTGGGGCTTCCTGCAGGATAGCTGATAAAGGGTGGGGCCTAGCCAGGGCTGGCGGGGAGCCCTCATCAGGACAAAGCAGCCCTGGAGCTGCAGCCTGTAGCGCAGGGAGCTGAGCACCCCAGCCCCTCTCCTGCCCTGGGGACTCAGGGGCCCATGACTGGCTGCCTCCCTACAAAGGCCCCCTGCCAGGAAAAGGCGCATGTCCATTCCTAGCTGGGCTATCCCAGATGCCCATTGTGGTTGGTGGGGGAGGACTCAGAAGATTCTTTGTTATGCACTTTTGAATTTTGATTTATTTTCCAAATTTTGTTAAGTATTCATTTCTTTGACTTCAAAAGTAAATTTTTCAAGGCATTGCCCCTCCCATCACCTCTACCTAAGCTGGTATTCAGCATGGAGGGGGGGCTCCCAGCCTCTCCAGGGCCTCGACATTCCAGACTTGTCTTCACCCTGCCTCACAGCAGGCCCTGCACCTCCCCTTAAATCCATGCCGGGCCTCCTCCCACCACCCTAGCAGCTACTCCTGCCCTCGGCAGCCTCCCCAGGTGGGTGGACAAGGGCCGCCAGCCCCTCTGCAGAGCGTGCATCTGCTCCTGGCTGGCCTCTGCTCCCGGCTCCTGGGAGCTGTCTTGCTGACAGCAGGGTGACCCCAGGCAGCAGTGGCCACGGCTGGGTCCAGCCCATGCCCCATGAAGCCACATTCTCTCGGGCACCCAGTGCCAGAACCACCTCCCAGGAACCTTGGAGGCTGAGCCCCACATCTGCAGCGCCCCCACACCCTCCCTCCCCGCACAGACTTGGGATCTTGCCTCACTGGCTGATGCCCTCCCTCCCCGCCAGGTTGGTTGCCCAAATTCATGACGAGCTGCTGTTTGAGGTAGAAGACTCACAGATCACAGAGTTTGCAGGTGAGCCCAGGGTTGCTTTTATTTTACAAATAATTTAAAGGAGAGTTGATGTCCCCTTGAGACCCCCAAGGAAGCAGCTCCCCTCTGTCTACCCCTTCATGACCCCTTGCCTGCCTCATGCCGCACATATCCCCTAGACCCTGGCACACAGAGGGGCCAGCCTGGTTTGGGGGACCCTTGAAAGGCCCAGGCAGACCCCGCCCTCGGCCAGCAGCCCCCAGAGAGCACTATGCGCTCTAGAGCAGCTATGGAGCTCCCAGAACACTGCCATCGCCTTGACATCGGGGGGTCTGGAAAGGGTGTGGGCACTGGAGCCATCAGGCTGACCAGGGACCAGACTGTAGAGCTGGTGGGGGATGTTCTTGTGGAGGGTCTGAGGTCATGGGATGCCCAGGCTCAGTGCAGACTCCAGGCCTGGGCCCTGCCCTGCCCCATAGCAGCTGAGCCACCACAGCCCATGGACCAGCCAGGGAGTGTCCCACCAGCTGTCAGCCTGAGGGACTCTTTGAAGTCAGTGACCACCTGTCCCCCTCTCCTTACGGAGGGCCAGGACCCCCCCAACAGTAATACCCAGCCACTGCCCCATGGAGGCTTCGATTCTGTCCTTGCTGGTAAGGGTGAGAACAGGAGCCACACGGGGTGCACCTCACTGCCTTGCGGGGCTGGGAGGGGGCACATGGGTGGACTGCAGGGCTTGAAGCCGGCCTGGTCACCAACTCCCATGTGACAAGTCACTGTGCCCCCCTGCCAGGGTCTTTGTGAGGCTCTGATCCTCAGCGCCCACTGAGCAGCCTCCATCTTAGACAGGCCCACTTCTTGAAAAACAAGTCCCATTTGCAAATAACAGACCTGAAACAAACCCACCCTACATAACCACGGCTAAAAAAGGAAAGAGAAAGTTCCTAAACCCCCTTGTTCTCCGGAGCAGCTCCCTCCAGCTGGCCGGGCAGCTCCCAAGGTAGGCGAAGGCAGGTGGGGCTGGGGACGGCGAGGGCAGGTGAACTGGGTGTCAGGCGGGGCCTGTGCCACCTCTGAGGGGCTGGGCGGTCAGGACATGCCTGCCAGATGTCTGTAGCTACAGCTGCCACCAAGGCCCCGCCTGCCTTCACGAGGCTGGGCAGCACCCTCTCTGTGCAGCGGTTAGTTGAGGTCACTCATTCAGCCAACAGCACTGTCTCACCGGGCACAGGAGAGAGGCTGGCTTCTCTGCACGCCCAGCATGGCCCCAGCAGGCTTGAGGAAACCGAGGTTCCAGCTTGGACCACCCTGTCATCCAGCCCTCACTTAAGAAGCTCCTGGACACTCTCAGAGCTCCAGGAGGGGATGTTGTCCTCTGCCCCTGCCTGTCCTGGCAGCCACACAGCCACAGTGACCCACTCCCCACACTCCTGCCCCCTCTAGTGCCTCTGTGCTGCATTGAGGACACTGAGGCCCACGGAGATCGGGTACTTGGCCCTTGGGCAGCTGCTGGCTCCACTTGGGGCACATCAGGGACCAGTTCCCCACGGAAGACCCTGACCCCATGGGCCCGGGGCTGGAAAAAAAAGGCAGCATCCAGCCACTGCCTGGGTATTTCTATCACGGCCTCTGCATTGAAGTGTCACATATGTACAAGGACAGAATGGAATACTTGTGTTTATCAAAGGGGTTCTGTGAGGAATGCTGGCCCTCCCCAGGGCAGAGCTCCACTGCCCCATGGAGGCCCATAGCAGCTAGTGCCATGAGGCTGCCCTCATGGGCTTGACCGTTACATTACACTTCACCCAGAGCCGCAGGGATCACGGGGCCTCTGCGTGCCCAGGCTGCCACCTCCTTCCTCCCAGCTCTAGAGCCCGCTGGACAGAGCTGGAAGCATGGCGCCTGCCCCACCTCCCTGGCCCAGCCCCTGTCTGGGGTTTGCTGAGGCCAAGGGGTGAAGGGCAGGGGCCACTGCCCAGCATCATGGCTGGGCCAGCAGAGCGACCACAGGCTACGTGAGGAGCCTGCACACAGCATCCTGGGCTACAGCCATGGCCAGATCAAGGCCCCCAGACCAACTAACTGGTTCAGTGACCCTGTGGACACAGGAAACAATCAAGGAGCTTGGGGGCTGGGTCAGGACCTGGGCTGGAAGGTCTCAGCCCCACCTCTGCTCTCTTTTCCTTTTCCAGCCCTTGTCAGGGGCACCATGGAGTCCTTGCAGCAGGTGCGGGCTTTGGAGCTGCAGCTGCAGGTGAGTAGGGGAGGGACACAGCCCCAGCCAGCCTCCCCCAACTGCAGCTCTACGGCCAGAGGCTGTCCAGGGAGGGAGAGGAGAGTCCAGCTCCCCAAGGGGCAGGAGGGCAAGGACCAGGGCACGGCCCCCAGCCCTGCCCAACACCTGAGCCCCAAGACCACTGCCTGGCCCCCCACCGCTCTCCTGCCAAGGAGCCAGTACCTGCAGAGTGGCTTGGTCATCTGCCCAGTGAGAAGCCACAAGGGGCATCTTTGGCTGCTCCCATCAGCTGGGGACCCTCCCCACTCGACCGCCGAGCCCACCGTCTTTGAGGCTCACCCCACAGGGGTGTGGGTGCACCACTAGGCATGCCCATACCTGCTCCCAGCCCCAGCTCCTGGCTGGTCACCTCTCAAGGTGGCCTGGGTCCAAAGCAAGAACAGACTTTGGGACATTTGAGCAGTCTCCTCCAGGGCGGTGGGGACAATGGAGGAGTGACAAGGAGGTGGGAGTCCCTAAACCCACACAGCCTGCTCAGGTGGGGGCCAGAAACATGTCCCCAGCACGCGAAGCCACCTGAGAAGGGCTGCAGGAGGGGCTGGCTGGCCCTTACCAATGGCATTTCGGGAAAGGCTCTGTCCCCTCTCACTCTTCCCCTCCCCGTGGGATGTGGCTGCTGCTCAGTGCTCCCAGCGCTGCTGCATACACATGGCGCCGTTACTCTCCCTTCACTCTGCACTCGGTGGCCTGCAGTCCCTGGAAGCCCCACCCCAGCCCACCCCACCCGCCAGTAGGAACTCTTCGGGTGGCAGGAGGCTGCAGAGCCAGGAGCTGTAGCTTGGGGCCAGGCCTCTCACTTCCTGTCAAGGGGAGCTGTTGAGACTTGATCCCAGGGCTTGGAAAAGAGCTCACTCAGGATCAGGGACCTCAGGGAGGGCACACACACCCTCACTGGCACCTCTCAGAGCTGGCCAAATGCCCCAGGAGCAGGCCCTGAGGTGGCAAATACAGGTTACCCCAGGACACACCTCACCCACCCAAGGGCACCTTGCCTGGAAGGCCCTACAGTAGGCCTGCTCACTGCATAGAGGCCCCGGCAGTTGGGGGCCGCGGCCAAGGTCAGGTGTCTTGACTGGGAGGTGGTATGGTGTGAGCCTGTCACTGGGCAAGTGCGCATGTGCATGTGCAGTGAGCACGCGTCTGCTTTGTGGCTGTGTCTGTGTGCCTCAGGTGTGTGTGCACCTGTGGCCCCATCCACCTGCACACAGGCCTGGGAGGTGGCTGGAGATGGCTGGCCCAGGCCTGGGGCTCAACACTGGCCACTGTCCACAGGTGCCCCTAAAGGTGAGCTTGAGTGCCGGCCGCTCGTGGGGACACCTGGCGCCACTGCAGCAGGCCCTGGGCCCTCCACTTGGACCAACTCGCACTGAGTCTCCCAGCAACAGCCCGGCCACTTCTGGGCCCCTCGTTGGCACCCACCCTCTGTGTGTGCATTTTTCGCCTTCATTTTGTTCGTAGCCCCAGGCAACAGTGGGGGTAGAGAACCGGTTTCCACCAGCCCACTGTGTGGCCTTCCCCAAGGTCACCAGCTTTGAACTGGCTCCAGGACTCAGTGCGGGGCCACATTAACCCCTTGGAGTTGGGGCTTCCTGGAGTCCTGAGAGTAAATGCCTATGCGAAGCTGCCTCCTCCTTGTCTGAGTGAATTCTTCCTGAGTGTGGGAAACACAGCCTCCAGCCATCTGGCCAGACACAGGGCTGAGTGCCCCAAATTGGGGTGGCCCCGACACAGCCTGGGCCGGGAAGGGCTCCCAGCTTCTCTCATGGAGCTTGGCAGGGGCTGGGGGGAGGCTCCCTTGAGCAGCAGCGTGGACCCCACCCCCCACCCAGCAGCCCAGAGGCCCCACGGCGTCCTCAATGCTAGCTCCCATGGCCTCTGCAGCCATGGCCCCGACTGGGGGCCACCGTGCATGAGCCAGGTTGTCGGTGTCTCTGGAATCACATGCTCTCAGACCCTGTGGGCTCTCCAGTGAGCCTCCTGCAGGCTGGTGACCAGTAACTGCACAGAGGCTGCCTCCCCCACCACATCTGCTCTGGGAGTAACTCTTACAGACTCTGCGGGGCCTCGCTGCCAGCCTATAGGACACCCGTGACCCACTGACCCACCAACCCACCTCCCCACCTTGCAGGAACCTGTGACAGAGGCGTCAACATGACCACCCTTTACATATGGGGAAACTGAGGCACTGAGCAATCACATGGCTCTTAAGTGCACCAGCCGGGATTTCAGCCGGGTCCCCACCTTGCACCACTGCTCCCTGCCTCTTGGCAGGCCCTGGGAATGTGCTCCTGGGGTCCTGCTCCCAGACCCCCCAACCCCTGGGGGCCTCAGCCCCTTCCTCATGCTCATCTGAGGGGTCGACCCCTGCAGCACCTTTCTGGGGGTGAGTGCGTGAGCAGCCAGGGGTCCGAGCAGTGGGACACCTCCCAGGCCTGCCTACACCTTTGCTTTTTAAAATGCTGACTGCCTCACACACTCTGCTTCTGTTATGTCCCCACTGCTCCAGGCCTCATCTCTCTGGAGGCCCCCTGCCTCAGTGTCATGGTCTGGGGGCTCTGGAGAGTCGCTCCTTAGTCCCTTTGTTTATTCAGCAAACAGCTACTGGACAGGTAATGCATGCCCGTGCTGGTGCAGCCAGTGGGACGGCGTCCACACCCGTGCCACCTGTCCCCAGGGCTCCGGGGAGCATCTGGGCCCAGCTTTTCCCCAGGGGGGCGGTGCTCACACTGGGCCAAATGGCTTGTTTTCCACATGGCTTCAAGATCTTTTCAATTTTCAGTGTGTGCAGGATCCTGGGTGGCCAGACCTGACCACTGTGTGACAGAACATTCCAGTAATCCAGAGAGCTGGCCCAGAACTGCTGCCAGGCCCCAGGGCCAGCCGTGGTGCTGGTCACCTGCCCTGTGTATGTGTGACCCTCACCCACCAGGGCCAGGCCAGCGGAGCCTTTGAGGTGGCATCACACACACCTGGGCTTCGGACAGAGCTTCTCACTTAAGACCAAGGACTGGCCTTGGGAACAGACGTCCGGTCAGGCCTTGTTTCTCCCCCGTGGCAAACGCAGCTGGTGCGGCCACACCGTGAGGACACCGACATCAAGCGTGTGGGGTGGGCACGAGGGCCATCAGTTTTTAAAATAAATGACCCAGCTCTACTTCAGGCTTCCAGATCCACCGGCTGCAGTTTCAACTGAGAAGTCCACAGAGACGGGTTTTGCTGTTTGTTACCTTAGCCCTGGTAGAGTTTGTCCAACTCCCCTCCCGCTGGCTGAGAATGGGGCAGCCCTAGAGCCTGCTGTGCCCTCCAGGAAGGGACTTGCAAAGGCCAAGTTCCCACAGGCTCCCGTGCCGGGAGGGCCCCAGGTGGATGGGATGGAGAGGGCAGGGAAGAAGGGAGAGGAAACCCTGCTACAGAGCTCCGTCCAGGGGGCAGGACAGAGGAGTCTGCATGCAGGGGAACCCCCAGGCTCCAAGGGTCCCTGTGCCGAGGCTGGCATCCCGCACTGGGTCTGTGTCCCCCTGCACCTCACTGAGACCCCCTTCCCCAGGCACCACCCTCCCTTATAGACATGGGCTCTGCTCCCCATCCTGGTCTGCCCTGGTGCCCCTCTCCTGGACCCCAAACCACCCACCATCCCTCAGAGTCAGGCTGTTCCTCCGAGGTGCCAGGTGAGCAGATGCCCAGGCCTGCAGTGGAGCCACCTGCAGGGGACCACCAGCGTAGGAGTGGACATAACCACTGACGATGAGAGGACCTGGGAAGACCAGGAAGCCTGGCAGGGGCTGCAGACCCCAGAGAGGCACCTGGACTCCAGCCCTTGGGGGACCCCAGCACGCAGAAGCCAAAGGTCTCAGCCTTGGAGGCACCCAGGTCCCAAAGCCAGGAAACAGCAGTGGGGCCTGGTGGGCCTGGCCAGGCTGGGGCTCCCCACCAGGGAGCGAGGATGAGGTAGGGCCCAAAGGTGTGCCAGGAGTTTGGGTGCCCAGGGCTACAGCACAGAAGTATGGAGTGGGGAAGAGACCCTGGGGGAGCCAAGCAGCAGAGCCAACCCCAGGCAGCCCTGCCTCCTTCTCAACCCACCAACCCACCTCCCAAAGGGGCAGCCAGAGCATCCCAGCCCAGTTCCCTCCCCTGCTCCTTCAAATCAGGTACCCCCCAGCCTGGCAAGGTGCCCACCCCTCTCAGGGGTGCAGAGCTGTGGAGGCCTCCAGTGCCAGGCTGGACCAGAGCCAGACGCCCCTTCCCAGGCGGCACCCTGGAAGGCCTGGGCTCTGTGCCTGGTGGGAGAAGGGACTCTCAGCCCCACAGTGCCACCAATGCCCCACTCCCCACTCCTGGCTGCCACCCCTGCTCCAGGGTCCCCCTTGGCCAAATACAGGCCAGAGCAGCTCAGGCCAGGGGAGGAGCGGGAGCAGGGGTGAGGGCTGGGAGGTGAGGGCAGCGTCTCCAGAAAGCCAGCCCTGCCTGGCCCAGAGGGCAGGAGGTGCCTCAAGAAAGCACTGGAGCCGGGTTCCTTCAACTCGGGTTTTATTGAAAAACAGCAGCATCCGGGCCATGCAGGCGGAGGAGCACAGACCCACCCCGGGCCCCCCAGCCTGTTTCCTCGGAACTTGGCTCGTTGCCCCCGCCCCTGGGGGCTGTTTTGGCACATCCTAGGGTCTCAGGACAGCTTCCCACCCCCATTGTGGGCTCAGGAACAACCACAAGAGGTGAAACCCACCACCACGGAGTGTCCCCTCGAGGGGCCTCCAGCACTGCCGAGTCCTCCCTGGGGCTGAGGAGCACAAGCAGCGCCACATTCACGGTCAGGCCAGCTCGGGAGGTGCGGGGCCTGGGCGGCCAGCGGCTCAAGCCCGCGAGCAGCTCCAGAGCAGCAGGCCCTGCCCGTGGGGCGCCCTCCCCTGCCGCGCGCGCACACGCCACCTGTGCGCACACACGCGGGTACGCCCCTTCTTTAAAATGGCTAATTATTGCTGTTAAAAAAGTACATCCAACAACAGTGTGTTGGGGCTCACCCTCCTATGCCCCTGGCCCGGGTGGCTGTGCTACCCACCCTTCAGCAGGCTTCACGCCACCCCTGCAAGCACAGCCGCAGTGGCACCAGGGAGCAAACGTTCCAGGGTCTGCCCCACACCCAGCCCAAAACGCAAACCCCAAACACATCAGCCAAAGAGCCACCGGCCCAGGAGCTGAGTCATGGAAGCAGCTCCCAAGCACACCCCACAGGTCAAGAGGCAACGGGACCTGGCGACAGTGCTGTCCTGGGCAGGGGGCAGTGGCCGCCTCAGCGTGGGGGCAACTGTGCAGCTGTCCCTAGGGCAGTGACAGGAACGTGGCCCCCACGAAGCCCCACACACCAGAAACCCAAGTTCCCTGGGTCCTGGGCTCAGGCACAGCTCCAGAAGCCGGCTCTAGTGAAGGCTTGGGTGAGGGCCACGCCCGGGCAGCTGGGGGCAGGCGTGGCAGAGGCCTTGTGCTTCGCAGAGGCCACAGCCAAGCCCCTGTGGCCCAGGGAGCTTGCCATGCACCTGCAGGACAGCTGGGGAGCTCACCTCAGGGTGTCCCGGCTCTGTCCCCTCTAGGGCCTCGGACTTTCGTCACCTTCTCTGAGGAAGTACGCCCAGAGCAGGACAGGGGGCTGCCCCCAGACTCTGCAGCTACATGTGTGCTGTCCAGAGGGTCTCCAACCCAAGCCTTCGCCCAGGGCCAGCTATCCACCCCTCAGGTCAGGTGGGCACAGCCCTCAGGCCCCTCCCCGCCGGGGGCAGCATCTCAACCACTGTCCAGCCCCAGGGCAGACACGGGTGGTAAGCAAAGCTGGGCCCAGGGGGAAGGGGCTGTTGCCTTGCTGCGGATGCTCCACCCGCCATACTTAGGAGCCCATCCCACCCTAGCCCTTCCCAGGGCCGGACCACAAGGTGGCCTCAGCACATGTGGGTCACACCCTGCCCACTTCTCCTCAGGGGCCAGCCACCTGCAGACACCCACAGCTGGGCAGTGGGAGTCAGCTGGGGCTGGCCAGCCAGCGACCCACCAGGACTTGGAAGCACTGGGCTGTCCAGAGGAACTGCAGCTGCCGGTCAGTTCTGCACTGCAGGCACATCCAACGACATGTGGAACACTGTGCCTCCCTCCCTCCCCAATGCAAACACAGGCGCTTACACACGGACAACAGAGATCCTGGGAGCCCCGGAACCCCAAGCACAGGGCCAGGCCCCGAGGGGGCAGCCAGGAGGCCAGCGGAGCAGGGAGGGGGTCCAGGGCCAGCACTTGGGGAAGCTGCACCAGACACAGGACGGCAGGGCCCCAGGAGGGCGCTTCACAGAGGTAGAAGTAATATCTACAAACGTATAAAATTCACATCAGTGCACATGTGCAGAGCAGGGAGCTCCCAGACTGGAGGGAGGACCCACCACGTGCCCAGCCTTCAGCCTGGGGTGGGGGATGGGAGATCTGCCCCCCAGGGGCCTTCAGGGACTGCACACTGGCCGAGCAAGGGCTCCGTCCTGGGCGCAACTTGAGCCCAGCCTGGTGTGCACGTTGATGCTCCCACCACCCCAGCAGCCTGACAGCAGGATTCCCACATGTCCACCTGCCACAGCCTCCTGGCATTTCTACCAAGTCCTGGCAGCAAAGAAAGGTCAGGAGTCCAGCAAGCATCCCACCACCCACCCGAATCCCTTGCCAGCAGACAGACGCCACCAGAGCAGAAGAGGGCCACACCACAGCCCTCAGGACCCCTGAGCCCCCAGGAATGGGGTCTGTTGTGAGCCCACCCCAGGTCAATATCAAGGAGACAGTGGCAGCCCCAAGGCCTCCAGGCTCTGCCCTGGACTGGGTGGGCTCCAACAGCCACCCCTATGTGCTCCCCACTCCAGGGACCAGAGGCACCAAAGGCACAGGATCAAAGAAAGCAGGCAGCGTCCCCAAGGTATCCCCCCACCAGACACATCCCCACGACACTGACCCCGCTTTGCCCCTGCCCTGCCTCTCCTGCCCTGCCGGCCTCAGACCAGCCAGCAGCCCCAACACAGCCCACACCGACTAAGACCAGCCCCGAGCCGAAACCAAACCCAACAGAAAGAGGAAAAAGGCACGACTGTCGCTTTCTGTTTTGCTAAAACACTTTACGTCTGTCTACATAATCCAGATAAACAAAATCTGAGAGCTGCAAGAAAATAGGGTGCCGATTTCTGTACAGTCTACAAAACTCCCATCCCCAAGCAGGGACCGGGCGCCACCAGGGAGGAATGTACAAGGGACAGCAGGGTCTGTACAGTATTCCGCAAGTACCTCAACTGCTAACAGGACAAAAAGCCCCTCGGAAGCGGGGCGTGCTCCATGGACTGAAGGGCCTTTTTAAGAACGTCCCCTCCAAGGTCCTGCCTGTGGCCTTGGTGCCTGGGACCCAGCTCCGTGGTGTGTCCTGCCTGCCACTGCCCCCCTCCCCAGCCCCTGCACAAAGGGGTCTAGCTGGGTGCTAATGCCCCTCTGGCCACCAAAAGCAGGTCCGGCCTCAAGCTGGACATGCCCGCGTGCCCAACCCCCACTTTCTGCCCCCCTCTGGTAGGCCACCCACACCCAGGATAGCCCTGGCAGCCAACCACAGGAAGGAGAGGCCTGAGGGACCCACTCCCTGCCCCCTACTCCAGCCCTCCTCCCTGAGGCTGTGGGACCTGCCCAGCCCCACCCTGCAAGCCACGGCTGGGAAGTGTGTGGCCTGGGGACTATTCACAGCCCAGAAATGCTCTTTGGTGAGAAATTTTGCTAAATCAGGGTCTCCCTCCAGATTTCAAACTGTGAAACCCTCCACCCACCCGGCCACCCACCCCCATCACACTGGGCCAGAAATAGTGTGTAGTCAAACGCCACACAGATGTGTGTCTCCGGGTACGAACGACCGTTCTGTCCCGAGGATTAGAGTCATGCAGAGTGCTATTCTGTCTAGATAACTGGTTAGAAGACGGGCGGGTTCAGGCTGGGAGAAGCTGTGGGCTCGGTGCCGGGCGGTGGCCTGGGTCAGTACGGTTCACAGGGCAGACCCCACCAGCAGGGGTGTCTGGAAGAGGCCACCGTGTTCCCACGGGCATGGGGAGAGGTGGCTCCCACCATGGGGGTGCGGCAGGTTGCTACGGGAATCCCACCTGGGTTAGGACCCGATCAGCCAAGCCCGGGGAGGGGAGGGAAGGGAAGGGGCCGAAAGAGGAAGGCGACGTGGTGTCAAAGCAGAGCGGGAGTGAAGAAGCCGGTGGGCGCTTGGAGTCCAGGCCCCTCCAGAGCGCAGGGCCGGGGGCGCAGCAGGCCCTCCCGCAGCTACTCAGGGCCGGGGCGGGGGCGCTCACCAGCCACGGTCTCAGGATCCGGTCTGGCAGGGCGGCAGGGGAGGCTGCGGGCATGCGGCATGCTGCGGCCCGGCCACGTCCTCAGCATGCACAGAGCAAAGCGGGGCTGCGGCCAGCTCGGCATCCCACGGGGCAGCAGCCGGCTGGCCCAGAAGCCACACGTCCAGGGACTGAGGGCTGAGCCACAGCCTGGCTGTGGGCCAGGGGTCTGCTCCTCAGGGGGCTTCACTGCAGAGGTTCTGTGCTTGGAGAGCTTTTCCCAACAGCGGCGGGTTGGGCAGCTCCATGGACAGCCGTGGTGGCCCACGATGCTACTCAAGGTGTGGCAAGCTGCCCTGACAGGCCAGGGAGAACGAGGGACCACGGCTGGGAACAAGCCACCCCTCCAAAGTGTCACAGATGAGCAACAGCCCCGCACCCCCCAGAACCAGCCAGACAACTGCATGATGTTGAAAAGGGAAAACCCAACACAACGCCAAGGTGAGCGTCAGGAAGCAGGCCGCAGCGGCGGCGGGCAGGCGGGCACAGGTGGACGTGGGCGGCCGGGGAGGCGGGCGGGCGGGCGGGGGCTGTCACTCCTCGCGCAGCT